AGCCCCCTTATCGTGTCCCCAAAATCCTCCCCCCTGTCCCCTGGGGGTGGGGGGGAAGTGGGTGAACGGCTGTGTTGGCTGCTGGCCAACATTGATTATAAGGATATCCGCTGCTTTAGTATATTCTTAACAATATAAAAATATGCAACTAATTACTACCAATAAAACTATTAGTAACTGAACTTGCACTAGATTCAAAGATGACCTTTGCTGTTATGGGGTTTAGATAACAGCACTATATCAGCTGGAAAGAGGACATTATTCAGTGTTTTCCAGGTTAGATATTCCCACTTTTCACCAGTGTCAATTAGAAATATCTAATATAAAGACTTACTTTATTACTTGAAGAACTGGACTTAAAGGTCTACTGTCTCTAAGCCAAGATATAAAAGATCGTGTCCTTTCTGAAGAAGGAGCATCTATCTCAGGAAGCTGTGTCTGGTGGAAAGTAATTGAAAGAAGTCATCATCTTTTATTATCAAAACTATTTAAAAAAATAGATTCTGATAGTTGTAACATGACCCAAGCCACAATTTCAATATATTAAGAAATTACCCACTATGGATTACATATATACAATTTTTCTTCAGCTTAAAGCACAAAAAGTCAATAATACCCTGTTCTTTAGGAAGCAGTACCTCTTTAAGTTAAACTAACTTTTAAGTGCAAAAGACTTTGTAAACCAAGCTCATTTAAAAAGTCATCTTTTCAAAATGCTTCTTTCACAGTTTTCTTGCCTTTGTCTTCCCCTGTCAATCAAGCTCCTACATGTTACATTTTGCATCACTGAAAAGATGAACACAACATGAAGAGGTGGAATCTGAATTCTAGGCAAAATTTCAACACAAAGATTATACTGGACTGTTTGGTTGGGGAATGAGCTGAAAAAATAGAATAAGAAAAACTTGAGTCATTCACCGAGATAAATATACCAACTCTTAGGCTGATATAACCTCTTAAGACAACTAATATGACATAAAAGAATTTATTACAGATTTCAAAGTGGTTAAATTGCTACCTTTATAATAAATGAATGGAAGACAATTTAAAAGCAAAGGTAACAACTTTTGTTTGTGTTGTTCTCTCATTTTCATTATAATAAATAGTATATAACCCATTGGAAAAAAGTTATCATCCTTCCTTTATCCAAGTTCTTCCTGAAAACTCTGTCAACTAATACTTACCACCATCTGATCAGAGGGAACAGCTTTCATTGCTAATACAAGCAAAATGCAAAACTTTGAACAAGCAGTCCAATTTTATAGTGGTCTTAAAGCTCACCACTCTTAACTTGTTCTTATAATTACCACTTGCTTTTCTCCTTCATACTATTCAAGCTTTATTAGCACAAAATACCATCCTATGTGTTTCTACAACAACCAACGCATTTTTGGTACTGTCTGAATAGAAACATTCAATTCTGAACTTTTCTAGAGTGTCTTAAAAGTCCATCCTTACCCACCACTTGTTGACATTTTGGAATCATCACCCACAGAAGAGGGGTCTTCTCTTTGATTGCTGCTCTGTTTCATGCACAAGACTATAGGCAGAGGTTGTAGCACAAAAACACCTCGACCAAAACACACCTCCAAGAGCCTCTGATGTTCTAATAGCTAAAGTGTTTCTTTTCAACATTGATTCAAGGCTTGGAAGATGAGCATAACTTAACTCTTACCCTTTACTTACAGGCCCATCATGTCATACCATAGACTTGGTATCTTACACCAGGTTCAGAGAACACAAGGCTTCTGAAAACCATGATATCAATAAAATAACTCTAATCCTAACAATTAACAGGTCTGAATAGATAATTTTTGTATTCATTCTGTGAAATTCCATCCTATTCTTGTGAGGCCACATGTATTTCCATAAAAATAATAAAAGCAGTAATGTTACAGAAAAATTTTTTGGCATTCCATGAATGTCAAAATTTACACATTTACATTCTTTCCTTGAAAGCATTTGACAACTTCTGTCTCCTATGCAGTCTGCAAGAAATTAGAATGTACCTGATAAAAACCCCCTAATTCATAGTTACATCATTAAAATCTGTAAATGCAGGAAAACAGATTAAATATAGATTCCAAAAAGGTAAGCACTATACAGCACAGCACATTAAAACACCTACCATTTTCTGTGGTACTGATGCATAGTTTGGATATCCAAGGACATCTTTTATGAAGTTGTTATCACAGTTTTTTCCAATCCAAATATAAAAAATCTGTAAGATATCAGAATCAGTTTTAGTAAAGGCCTTGCATATATTTAACAGAAAGAGGTAAGTGGAGACATAATTGGAATAATAACAGAATAATACCTTTAAGGCAAATGAATCACTTAAGAGCTCCAGTTGAGAGCTCTTCAAGTGAGAGCTATATATAGATCTCTATATTCATTATTTGTACATTTACTTATTAATACATTGGTAGCATTTGGCATAAGATCATTAAATGTAAAAAAAAAAGAAAAATGTAGAATGCAAAAACTGAAAAAATGAGGATGCAGGACATCTATTTTGGAACAGTTAATGCACTCTCTTCCCACGTTACCTCCTACAATGAAAAACCTAACGTTTTATGAAGTCACACCACTGTGTCAGTTACTGCACACTGACTTCCCAATCTACATAGGTCATAGTAAAGCATCAGTTATGACAACACATTATAGTAAGTATTTCAGACATTTGTAGACAGAAGCTAGTTTGACATTTGCACTCAGCCCCAGAACTCATACAAGGTTTAAAACACTTTCTAGACTCCTGTTAGAGTAGCATAATGTTTCATCACATTATGAGTACCATAATGCTTTACCCAATTAAGTGTTTTAGTGTAGTTTCTACAAACACCTTAAACTGTATTTACAGATTTTGTTCACTTCCCACAACTCCCTCACTCTTGCAACTCTCATGTCACACAAGCCATGAACCATAGAACTACTTGTATTTGTGTGTAACTGAAGGTTCCTGCGTCAATGAGAAGTGCTTTGTTAGACTCTAGAACGTACAATTTAACATCATTAAGATAAATTTTGGAAAATGGAAATCCATTATTTCCAGAAAAAAATATTTCCACAAACAATTGTAACATGAACCCTTGGTATATTCTGATCAGTCCAGCATGAAAAAAATTAACTTCTGAACCCTTAATCTGCAACCTCAAAAATACTCCTCTGACCAAAATATGAAAACCTTTACTGGAACACAGATTATTGCCAGGTTTCCTGGAATGCTGATTCACTACACTGTTATTGTTGAGAGCTTTTAGTAATTCAGCATACAAGGCTTTTTTTTTTTTTAATAGGAAAAAAAAAAAAAAAAGGGAATGTGTTAAATTCTTAACTTACTGAACCACAATCCATAAGAAAAGCTCCTTCTCTTGTCAGCTTCTCTGCAGACAACTTTTGAAGAGGTGGCTGAGGAACGACTCTGTCATTTACATGTATTGTACTCTGTAACAAAGAGAAATACTAAATAACACTAGAATAGGAATAAATCCTATTGTTTATCTTAACCAGGTAAAATAAAACAGGAAAAAACACTTAGTCTCTAGCAAAATTCTGAGGATTCTCATGTAACAAAATGCCACGTCAAAGCTAAAATGATTATGTACAAGCAATTCTGGAATGTTACTTAACCTAAAGGCTACTTTATTACCTAAAAAAAGAATAATGCAAGTTCATTTAAGTTGTGTATGTAACATTTCTCATGCTATAGATGCCAAACTTTCAAAAGAATTCTACTGTTTGCACTTAAATTTTCTACAAACAATCTCCACACATTTCTGCAAGAGCAGAAAAACATCAAATTTTACTCCCTGTAAGGGTTCACTATTTTACTACATTCAAGTAACAGTAAGTTCCTTGATGTAACATCCTGCCTGAAGTGATATACGGGTTTGTCCACAGAGCACTATGACTGATCTGATTAAACAATCTGTCTGTTAGCAATGATGTTATTAAAAAATAACCCCCCCTCCTCCCCAGCAATAAAACCAACCAAAACCAATAAAAAACCCCAACCCCAGAGTGTTTTCAGTTTAAAGCTACTTCTCCCCTACACAAAAATAGGCTGAATATCTTAAGAATCTGCAAGGCATTCTGCAAATAATGTAGGGCAAAATAGTCTAGAGACTAAGCACATCTCCACATGGTAAAAGTTTATTAAAAAAATCAAAAAAATCAAAAAAATCACTATTTTAAAAATTCTGTATTATAATGGAATAGACTAGAAGCTTTTTTAGGATTTATACATAATAATGAAAATCAAGCTACTGAATTCCACTTGGGAAAGTTCCAGGCTTTACTCAAAATTTGTGTCTGTCACAAATAATTTAAATTGAAGTAGTAATAAATAGCAGATTAGCATTCCATTATATGATTTAAAATGTGGTTTGTCTACTAATTTCAGTAGGTCAAATAAGCCCTATTTTCTGTATTATTCTATTAGAAATAACTGATCTGAAATCCTCTGCTAGTAAAACTGGATCTCCCAAAGATATTGCTGGTTCTTTACAGCACTTGCACACTGAATATAGTGTTTCACTGTTAAGTTCCACAAAAAACAAGGTTAAGCTGAAGAAGTTGGTTTCTCAAATACAGGGAGGAGGGGGGCGGGGCATGGGGGAGAAGTATAAAAAGACTAACTAATCAATTCCACTGAAGAACACTGAGCTTAGGCTCGCATATGTGAGTTTATGAAATACCCTAAAAGAAACTTTGAGACTATAAATAGCTCACAGGTTGTGCTGAACAATACCAACCGCCTAAGAAACTACTCAAGTTACCACACAATCTTGTATGACACCTAAAAACAAACTCCTACATATACTTTTCCAAAGCTAGTGGCTAACAAGCTCATGAAAACTTACCTAAAAAAACCCCAAAACCCCACTCAAAAAAATCCCTTATTTTTGCAATTACAACCAACTTTGACCTTAAATAAAATCCCATCTTGCTTCTTACTACTAAAAAAAAATGCATCCATTTCCTAGGCTACCTCTGTAAAAGGCAAACTAATAAAGCCTGGTTTTGTACATGAAATACTTCCTCAGTCTGATCATGACCATCTAGAAGTACAATTCTGTTTCATCCACATCATTCTAAGAAACCTCTGGAAGTTTGTTACTTTACCTGGCAACTTTACCTGGTTTCAATACAAAAAACCTATAATCCTCCACCAAATCTACTCCATCCATTTCCAAAACACAAATCAAATTGGAGATGTTTCCAATGTATACAATCTTCTCTGCTTTCTTTGTATAGCAGAATAATGCTGAAACTAGGTGAAGTGAAACCACAGTTCTGTTCATAACACACTACTGTACTTGCAACTTAACACTTGAAAATAAATGTTTTTCGTGATTTTTCAGTAACTTATGGAAAATGTTCAGTTTACATTACAATAACAACTTTAATTAAATTACTGTAGCTCAACATCAGGTTTAGCAGACCATTAAAACTAGAAAATATTATAAAGCAGGCTTCATACACTACCTCATCAATCAGCTTGTCTATTCTATACAAGTTGGGATGTATCATTTTCATCAAATGAACAAGAGGCTGGCTCTTCATCTGGCACATTGCATATACACGATCATCCAAGCGTGTACTCATGCCTGTTCTAAATGCTTTCTGCAAGAGAACAGTGTTGTTACTCAAATAAATTCTGCATTTTATGTCACATCTAAACAGTGTATTTCAGATTTTTTTAAAGTGTCAAGCAGAGATGGCAAAGCATAAACATAAAAAAATGTTCCCCCTACTTTGTGTAAAATTTGCATGTGATTGGGCCAGCATTTCTCATTTTTACTCTTGACAAATGTTACTGGCCTGTGCAACTCACCGGTGCAAGATATCACAGGCAGGTATGAGCCTAGCAGAGTTCAAAAAAGATAATTCTGTGGATAAGATTAACTCCGATTTTATATTAATAAGAATTAAATGTTAAGGAAAAGCTTTGGAAGGGAAATATACTTTCACATTTTATAGCAGAAACTAGGCTCTCATAGGATAAAATTTATTTTGTAACTCTTTCCTACTCAATTTTTCAGATCTTCTTTAGAAACAATTTGTAAATGATCACTGTTAGAAGCAACACGATGGAGTAAGCACCATATTCTGATTCAGTGGAGAATATTCCTATAACCAAAGCGCATATTCACTTCTACAACAAAGCTAAGTACATCAGTCCTCTTCTCCTTGGCTGCCACAAGCATTCTGGTTTTGTTTTCTCTACATCCCAGGCTTTTTTACTATTGTTAACAAAGATAATTTAAAAAAAAAACCCAACCTAAACAACTCATTTTCTCAGTCACTCTTACTTTGGTCTTTTACATGGATCCTCTTGGTAACAGTTTGGTTTTTCCCCACCACTAACTGCATTACTTATACAAGTACCAAAAAAGCCCTAATCAGTATGTTAGAGACTGAAGTAATCACTAAGCCAAATAAAATAAGTTATTATGATTGGATTTCTTACCAAACTTACATAAAGGTTTATTTATGGTAAGAGAACAAAAAACTGTCCAACATGAAAATCTTTAACCTATGAGATTTATTGATAACAAAACCCTGCAGTAAGTTCTCTTTTTATTTTTAAGTATGATATTTGGTAATACAAACAAAGATATTAAAAAAATAAATCAAAACAGAGTAACTACTTCCATGTGAACTTGAAACTATATCACTTTAATTTCTGTAATAGATGTCATTGTATTTCCATGGAAATTAATTTTCCTTCTTGGTACTTTAAAGTACAAAGCATATGCATTGAAAAATACTTGTCTTGTTTTTTCTTCATAAAATAAAATTGAAGTACTAATAAGTGGTTTCCAACAATCTTTACAGGTAACACCAGTTAGCTTCCAAAATCTGAAAAATGCTAATTGTTAGAATATATATATTTTTATTTTAATTGTAAAACAAAAATAAGGCAAAATATAAAAAATTAAAAATAAACTGTTCAGGCACTAATCATTTAAAATAAGCTAACGTAGTCATCTTTTCGGTGAAAGTCCTGTAAGCTTAAGGAGGATAACCCAATTTTCATAATTTTAGAAAAGTGCAGACATTGCTTGACCTGGAGCTGAAGAATTCCTCAAATGGAACAATGAATTAAATATCAAACATAAATCCACTAAATTATACTGTGCTGTTCAACATCTTTGTCAGGGACACGGACAGTGGGATCGAGTGCACACTCAACAAGTTTGCCGTGACACCAAGCTGAGTGATGTAGTTGACACGCTGGAGGGACAGGACACCATCCAGAGGGACCTTGACAGGCTTGAGAGGTGGGCCGGTGCTAACCTCATGAAGTTCAACAAGGCCAAATGCAAGGTCCTGCACCTGGGTTGGGGCAACCCCAAGCACAGATATAGGCTGGGCAATGAGTGGCTTGAGACCAGCTCCGAAGAGAAGGACTTGGGGGTGGTGGTGGACGAGAAGCTGAACACGAGCAGACAATGTGTGCTTGCAGCCCAGAAGGCCAATAACCGTATCCTGGGCTGTATCCAGAGCAGCATGTCCAACAGGTTGAGGGAGGTGATTTTCTCACTCTAGTCTGCTCTTGTAAGGCCCCACGTGGAGTACTGTGTCCAGTTCTGGAGCCCCCAGCACAAGAAAGACATGGACCAGTTAGAACAAGTCCAGAGGAGGCCACAAGGATGATCCGAGGGCTGGAGCACCTCTCCTATGAGGACAGGCTAAGAGAGTTGGGGCTGTTCAGCCTGGAGAAGAGAAGGCTCCAGGGAGATCTTATAGCGGCCTTCCAGTACCTGAAGGGGGCCTACAAGAAAGCTGGGGAGGGACTTTTTACAAAGGCTGGTAGTGACAGAACAAGGGGAAATGGCTTCAATCTGGAAGAGGGTAGATTTAGATCATATATTAGGAAGAAATTCTTTACTGTGAGGGTGGTCAGACACTGGAACAGGTTGCCCAGAGAAGTTGTGGATGCCCCTACCCTGAAAGTGTTCAAGGCCAGGATGGATGAGGCTTTGAGCAACCTGGTCTAGCGGAAGGTGTCCCTGCTCATGGCAGGGGGGTTGCAACTAGATGATCTTTAAGGTCCCTTCCAATCCTAACCATTCTATGATACATACCTGTTTGAGAAGGGCCAAAATATACAGTGGAAACAGCTTGAGGGAATTTGGTGCTATCAGCATAGACTGCTGCAGATTTGAGGCAGTTGACATGTATGCTGCCAAGGAGTCCATCACAGCATTAACTAAGGCATCTCTTGCATCTGAAAGACTAGATGAAACTGAGCGATCCACAGCTGTTGGGTTAGAAGGATACAAGAAGTTACTAGAGTTGGCCTCATTCATTCCCTTGAATTTTGAAAGTATTAGTTGTGCTTTTGGGTGATATTTTAAGATTTAAAAAAAAAACACCAAACAAACAAACAACAAAGCACCACACCTGTGGTCCTAACTTTTTAGTAATACATAAGATGATTGCCCATAGAGAAACCCATTTTCACGACACTTAAAAAAATACAGTGTGACTGATCTCCACTCCCTAGTTTCTATTCTTGGAGAATTTAAAAAAGTGTTTAAAGCTGTGGTATATAATTGAGAATAAATATAAATCCTGTTTTAAGCTTTATAAAATAACTCTCTGCTTTGCTTCCTCCAAGATAAGATTTGCAGCATTTTTGGTTTTTTTTCCCCTCACAAGAAATTTCTTCCATTATTTCAGTGGCATAATTATGTTTAGTGTACATGAAGTTTCATCTTTCTCTCCTGAGACAGGGCTGCAAATCCTTTGGTTGGAGGAAGCCATCTGCTGGACTAAATGTACATTTAATCTGAGTTACAGAAGTAATATTTATTTCTTCTAATTTATTTAACTATTAGTATGCAACATAGCTTATACTAAAATGCTGCACAGAGCCATACATGTTCAATGGCAGAGATCGGTCTATAGAACAGCTACTTATGACTCACAAGTAGGGGATAAGTAAGAATCCTCAAACCAGCAACAACAGCACAGAAAACTAACGCAAAGCTCAGATACACTGTTGTCAGAAGTTTCCTTTTTGTCTCCAGCAACTCACTAAACTCAATTACTCTGCTTCTTAAGTAATCCTAGAGTGCTGTAGTTTGAGATAACAACCATGATCTTGATGGCAACATAAAAATGAAAGTTTTAATCCAAGTATGTTATTTTTTGTGCTTTAACAAACTCTAGAGAACAATTTAAGAAGGCTCCTTTTAAAAGATTTAAGTCAACTAAGTATGCAAACTAAGAAGTCTTTCAGTTAAGTCTTTCAGTTTTGGTATAACTCTGATTTTGTCATATTTTGTATTCTCAGGCTTCAGCATGCTCCAACTCCAACCTTTTTCTACAATACCCAGGCTTCATTCACTACTTCCTTGAAATAGCTGGCAAAACTAGGAACATAAAAAAAAGATACTTGAATCTTCCTGGTCTGTACTCACCCATGTTTGCTAAGAGACATACAACTGCTTGTACATCTGCTCCTGCATATACATCAGCCAGTGAACTTACTACGGGCAAGCAAAGTGTGTGCACTCGAATACGACGCTCACCTAGTAAAAATAAGTAGAAACCATTATGCATTATCTCCTGGAAAAGGTATGCAAATTCAGTCATTACAGCATATCTCCTTGCACCCGGATGCACTCATTTTGTAAAAAAAAAAAAAAATCTATCAGTCAGGAAACTGCTGTAACACGATCTCCCATTCCTGTCTCTTAACCTGTTCAGATTCTGCAACACACTGAAGCATTCAACTTACGAATCAGCACAAGTTCATAACACAAACTAGCTTGTAATGTCCACAGTAAGTGTCTTGATCCTACAAATAAAGTACATTGATTTCCATCCAAAAATGTTTTGGCATCTTCCACAACAGAAAGTAGCTGCTATTCTTTACACACACCCAACATACTACCAACTTGCTCCAATCCACCACCATCACAGGTCTGCAATTTTGGACAAAGTGCATGCCAAGCATGTTACTGCTCATAACAATGGCATGCCTTTTAAGTAAAGGAATCTTTCTGAATCAAACCTATGTAAGATGGAGATAGATAACATTTTCTCATCAAAACAGAGCTTATAAAGATTTACATTATGTGATTAACTGCCAAGTGGGCTCACTAGCTTTGACAAAGTTCTCTTTGGGTATAGAAAACAAAAAAAGGCTGTGGAACTAACTATACAAACACTATATTAGAAAAACAAACAAAAAGCCCAGTGGGCAATTCATTTGAGTTTATTTACCTTTGCTGGAAGTATACAAAAGAGCTGTTTGAAAACAAACCAAAGATGTGTCAGTCAGACTTTCCTCAATGGACATTTGTACTGCAAATCCAGCATCAGGATTGACATTGGCAAGGGACAATAAATCAGTAGATCGTACAAAAAAGTTCCCATGAAAAGTGTGTATTGAAAGACCTAGAAGCAAATTAAATAATTCAGAGAGTGAGGTTAAAACAGCATGAAAAACTATCAGTAATTAAAACCCACATCCCCCAAGCTATGTTTAAGAAAAAGTAAAAATACTTATTCTATCATGCAAAATCAATTACATGAATCATTAGACATTTCAGCATGATCCTGTAGAGTTCATGTTCAATTCTGAACACTCCGAACTGAATGATGCTCTTAAACTACATCAACTTAGTTGAAGTCAGATGGTGCCATCGTAAGAAAACAAAACAAAAAAAACCACATGGCAAAAGCTAATTTAACTTACACAAAGGCAGAACTATCTTACTTTTCAGTGAAAGAAATACCCTGAAATCTAATATTGCTAAAGACTAAACATATACAAAATGATAGTTAACATGCTTACACCAACTTTTCCATCCAAGCCAGTATTTAAAACATACCTTTTGTACACCTTATGCGCATAACTGCTTCAAATCCAATCTTTCTTGTAAGGTATCTTTTAAGGTCTTTCTGCAACTTTTCGGCCTGAGCAGGATTATGGCTCCGATGGAAAGATGGATAGTAATAGATGCATCCAGCAGAATACTTGGACATGCAAGCTGTGAAGAAAGAAAAGATATGGTTAAGAGGTAAAACCGTAACATGAACCCAGGACCCAAAAATTGTGTCCAACCTTCAGCAAGTCGCATCTCTGTTCATCGTTTTCTTGATATGACTCACATCCGTAAGACAACAAGAACTGGCCCAGACTCAAGCCACCAAAGACAGTGATGAGTCACCCCAATACACAATTATCTAATTACACACTTGCTTCAATAAGCATGCTACCTTTGTCAGTTAAGACAGGAGTGCCTGCAGAAATATTTAATGGCGTAGAAGCAAAATTAAAAGTGTGTGCACAGAAATAAAACTTGGTTTAATACTGAAAGATGAAAACTCTGCTCTAATCCTATGATCAAACTTTACTCATCCACTGCCATCTGCCTGTTCCCTGTTCTTGATCAGGAGAGCACCTTTTAGTTTAAAACTGTGAAATCCCAGAATAAATTGTCTGATACTCCAATCCAGTACTTCTGTTCTTTACTGCTATCAACTTCCAAGTCAATTCCTTTGTAGCATTAGCTGCATTTACAAAAGTGCAAAAAGATTTACATGATTTAAGAATTTCTGAAGTAGCCTGTGCTTCTGAAGAAAGACAACAGTGTAGAAAGAGTGAATGCCATTCATTAGGTACTCCTTACCAAGAGAAGCCAGATCAGAATATTGTGAACTTAAGAGGAATAAATCCACAGCAGTCTGCTGGCCTGAGCAGTCCAGTGCCAACTTCTTATAAAAATCTGTTGCTGGACCAAGATGCTGGACCACCTTTGGTGAACAAATTATACAGGAAAGAGTTAAGACAACAATCTTAAGACATTGTGGAACAAAAGACATACTATTTAGTAACAAAGTATCATAAGGAAGTTTCCTCTAAGCAGTCATTTATAGGCACTTCCACCTGTAGAAGTTATTTTCCTTATACTCCTTATTCTTTTAGTTTGTCTTTACAAGCAGTTATGATCCTACTTTCGAGGAAGTTTACATTCTCATACAAATAAACATTCATATAACTATGCAACAATTACTGGATGCCATAAACTACAAGGCCATAAAAACAATAAGAAATCATATTTTAGGTCTACAATTTAATGTATCCATGCTTTGGTTCAAAACTCAGGTTGATATAGTCAGAGATATTTGCAGCTTCTTTTGCTTTCCAATAAAAGCTATGGACAAAAGGCCCAAAAGACAGCTCATGCACTTTGAAACAAGCAATACCACACGTACATGTATAAACTAGTGATCTTAAAGGCACAAACACAGACAAATAATAAAATAATTAAATTTTAGTGTATTGCTACAAACAAAACCCAAGAGTTGATCCGCAGAACTATGCAAGTCAGAAAGACATCGTCAGTTCCTAGTCTCATGAGATGAATATTAAAGGAAGTTTTTGTACCTTTGTGCTTGACCTTTGATTGGGATCTTCTCTGGAATGCAAAAGCCCTGCTCCCAAAGATGGTAACTGAGTTTGAAACACAGATACCCGACCACCCGTTGGAGACATCAGTTTAAACGCAGCCTGAAGAGCAGGGCCCAATGCACTGTGTGTTTCTCTTGTATTGGTGAACATATTTGGTAACGCATTCAATAGATCCTTTATCAGCTGCAGAGCAGATTGAAAGCTGTTTAGGAGGTTTTGCAAGCTTGAGATTTTCTGCTATTTGTACAAAGCTGTATTGCCTTAACTGAAGTGGAACAATCAGTACCAAATATTTCAGCTTAGTTTCAACACACTAAGGTAAACAAAGTCATTTTAAAAACTATGATGCATGTCCTGGTTTTGCTAGGATAGAGTAAATTTTCTTCTTAGTAGTTAGAATAGCTGTGTTTTAGTTTCAGTGTAGAAGTTGTTATGAGAGGAATGTGGATAAAAGTACTGATGTTATTAGTTGCTGCTGGAGCTCAAGGCCACCGTGTTTGGCTAGTTCACAGCTGCATTAGGAGTGGGAGGGAGAAGCGTAGGGAATAACAAAACCCCAAACTGGCATTTGGATGTGCCAATGAGATATTCCATATCATATCACGTCATGTCAGTCTATTAACCAGGGCTGACTGGAAGATGGGGGTATTGTCTCAGGGATTGCTTGGGCTCGCTCTTCTGGGGTTTCAGTCTCGGGACTGTCTCTGCTTCGGGATCACTGGCTGGCACAGGCTGGGCATTGGTCAGTGGGTGGTGAGCAACTGCACTGTGTATCACTCATTTGTATATTCTATTATTATTGTTATTATAGTTTTATTTTAATTAGTAAATAGTTTTTATCTCAACCCGTGAGTCTCCTTGCCCTTTCCAATTCTCTCCCCTATTGCCTGGGGCGGGTGAGAGAGGAGGCTGTGTTTGAATGCACGCCAAACCACCACAAGGCATCAAACAAACAACATGTAATACTCCTACAATTAAAAAGTAGCATTGGAATTATGCATTATGTAGATTGGCTTGAATTAAAAGTTTTAGAGGAACCTCTACTTTGAATATTTAACTCTCTAAATTAAGTGATACGTTTTGATCAACCATACCTCTTTGCTTTCATGGAGATTCACAAGTAAACTATCTGGTGTAGGTAGGAAAATATCTGTAGGGAGAATGGAAAAAAGCATTTTATTAAAGAAAAAATTAACATTAAATAGAACAAAACATTTCACTGCCCACTACTATACATACCATGAAATAGTCTACTTTTCTGATACATATATTAGAGAGAATAATATAGTCTATACAAAGCTTGTTTTATTCAAAGCAAAATTAACATCTGAATTTCACTTTTTAAACATACCTTCCCTGTAGTTAGTGTAGATTATTTTCTAAAAATATATTCCCTATACATTCAATAGAATTGACCTCGCATCAAAATATCTGTGAGATTCTAATCTTTATTCTGGGAAAAATTAGCTTCTCAAAAATTTAGTTTCCATTTTCTTTTTACTTACCATCAATATCTGATACAATCAGCATCTGAGGCTGAGATAAACCTTCTTGCAAGTTGTAAAACTGAACAGTGCTGTCAAACGTTATGAACCCTATTCTTGTTCTTGAGTCTCCAGGCAGCCTGAAGCATTAAAAAATAAAACTATTAAGCCCTAAATTTCTCTCTCAAAACACATACATAACACAGCTCCTGCTGATGTTAGCAGAAACTCAGCTCATGTATACAGGGGTGTGGGGAGAACAAAATAAAGGAGATCTCAAACTTGAATACAGTATTTCTTCAGTATTTTCTGAAAAGCTAGGATAATTAGAGTTTACAAGCCTAAGTGTTATAGATAGGCACTCACTAATATATTGATGTTTTATTCCAAGAGAGAACTTAATAGATTCATTTAAACATTACACTGACACATAAAGAAGGTAGCCCTTGCAGTTTTTTGATAGAAAATAGTGCATCCTGCTCTTTCATAATAAAAACCCCCAACAGTTACTAACGTAGTTACAGAGAATTTACACCTCTAAAACAAAACCCCATGTCTCTACAATGCAACATACTTATTTCTCATGTGGACCATATTCCTATACATGGCATTACAAATACAAGAAGAAAAACAAAATAGGATTTCTCAAATAAAATATAAATATCTGCAAGTGCTAAAAATCATGATGGTGAACAAAAGCAATAGAGGCAAATACTGCTTTTACCATCTGGGTATATAAATTAACTGGATATACTGATTTTCCTATAGACTTTGCATGGAATGTTATGAATCTTCCTAAAATAATTTAGCATGTTTCTGAGAATCTGTTGACAAAATACCTGTAAAGATCTGAACAGAGAAAGATTAAACCACTAAATGTAGGTGAAGAATTTTATTGTACAGGTTGGAAATTAAAATCAAGTTTCCCAAGAAAAGCTTGTAGAAGACAATTTTCAGAGAGAGGCCTCCACAGGATGCAAATTAGTTTTCAAAAGACATGAACCTAGTGAAGCTTATTAAGGACAGGCAGTGACAGGACAAGGGGCAATGGCTTTAAACTGGAAGAGGGAAGGTTTAGATCAGGTATTAGGAAGAAATTCCTTACTGTGAGGGTGGTCAGACACTGGCACAGGTTGCCCAGGGAGGTTGTGGATGTCCCTTCCCTGGAAGACTTCAAGGCCAGGTTGGATGAGGCTTTGAGTGGCCTGGTCTAGTGGAAGGTGTCCCTGCTCATGGCAAGGGCGTTGGCACTAACTAGATGACCATTAAGGTCTCTTCCAACCGAAACCATTCTATGATTAACTTAAAAAGCACCACCAACAATCCCATACATGCTGTTCCAGTGCAGAAGTGAGCATAGATAGAAAACAGCACAGGTAGATCTAGGTAACTGTGATCTAAAAAAACAAAACTGACAACAAAATGCACTCAGGCAGTCTCACCCAAGTGGTTCCAATGTGCCAGTATGTAGAACCTCAGCTGTTTCAGCACAAGAACCAAACAATTTAATCTTTGTAATTTAGTTTCTTCTGTCAGTCTTGGCAGGGGGAGGGAGAAGCGCACACTTTTTTTTTGTACACTCAACCTGTTGCTAGAAGTTACAGCTAAATATTCTTTGCAGATAAGTAAGTAAAGTATGCACAGATCCACATTTAATCACATGCAGGGAAGATAGCTCTCAACATGCAAATTGCTTCAACAATAGTTTGTGGGGGGTTTTTTTGGGGTGGTGGTGGGTTTTTTTGATTGGTTGGTGGTTTGTTTTTGGGGGTTTTTTTTAAACATGTAAGTTGCATTTCAGAATCTCAGGCAATAGAACTTCTGTCCTTTAGGGATAGAATGTTTAAACACTACATGCAAGTTTTCTGCAAAACTGTAGGTTACTATTGCTCATAATAACACATTAGCTAATTTAAAAAGGTTATGTATATTCTTACTTGTCTAGGTTTTCCAGCAATGACTGGCAGACTATTGTCAAATATCCAGCCTCCACTGCATTATGAGACACATCTAAAACAAATAAATATACCGCAGGCTGAGGAGGACGAAGCTACAAAGTAAAAAAATAAAAATAAAAAAATGTTCAAAAATCATATATAAAGAAATGTTAAAAATGATTAGTCATTAGAAAGGGAAGTGGGAAAAGGGAATACTTAGAAAAATGCAAAGTATACATTTTGCAACAAAATAAAACTAAGAGCCATGCAGATAGACTTAACCACAATTCCCAGTGGTTAATAACTCCCATTTATAATAAGCATAACAATGTTATGCTTCAGAAGAGAAATTGGTTATTTTAGTCTCTCCTTCCAAGAGTCAACTGAAACATGACTCTGATGCCAGATATGGAATTCACTCTTCAAAACACCACTGGTCTTTCAGTACATGGACAATGCAATTCATTAAACAGGGTTAAAATATTCTACCTACATCCTTTTCCCAACCATATAACAAGCTGTATTTATTCACTGCCAAATGTCTTGGCCATAGTGTTTCAATTGAAAGAGAAGGGAAGAATTTATTTTGGCTGTTGTTAATAATGTTATTACGAACAAGGCCTTTTCCCAGGCCTTGTTTATCTTTCTTGGAGACAAGACTACTATCACAGCAATTGTAGGCTGACTCCTAGTCAGAATCATTTCTGTTACAATTAGTAACTAAAAAATTGAACCCAACTTAATTATTTGGCTATTCCATTACTGATCTTTCAAAACCTCTTCAAAATGGAGAAGAAACCCAGAAACCACGTTGCATCGGACTCAAAGCAGACTACGCCACATTAAATTACACTGGACAACTACACACATTGCAATTGCCTCTAACTAACAAGCCTCTGAATATGTACATTTGCCAAAACTTCATATTCATAAATATGAATTTTAACTATTCTTTGGTGTTAAGAGGACCTTCCACCCCTGGAGCAATACGCAATGTTAATTTCAAATGCATTTATATTAACATGCAATTGTTGTTGAAGTTACTATGAAAACTTTTTTTACCATATAGTCGGAGGAAGCAATGAATTCCACCGTAGAATTTTGGACCTCTGGCCGTTTGTGAGGCTCTCCATAAGATCGTGTCAGAGGATTATACATAAATTCTTCAGGAACTATTAAAAAAAAAAA